TCCCTGAAAGTGACAACGTTGAGTTTCAATTTTTCTTCTGTTTAAAATGTAGGTACCTTTTCTTCGTGTTTTAAATTAAATTGTGGCTTTTCTTTTCTATCTACACTTAGTATGTATTTCACACCTCCCTCCCCCTCGCCACTTAGACCAGGGATGGGCAACCTTTTTTTGTGTAAGGGTCACATTTCAAAACTTTTGAACTAACACTGGCCACATACAAGATAAAAGAGGGGGGGAAATGCCGGTAAATCACAATTATTTATTCATATATAATTATAAAATAGAATAGGTATACTTAATTTAGCTTCTAGAACTGATGTAAACGTAATGTATCAAAAATATTTGATTAAATATTAGTCACTGCTAGTTTTAAATTAGTTTCGAGGTGAGTCTGTTGCCGGTTTCTCGTTTTAATTTTTACTAAATTCATTGCAGGAAAAACTATTCACACACATAAGTTGTAGAAAATAACGTTTGAATTTTTGCTGCATACTATAAGTTAATGTTATTTTTATGAACAAAAAATAAAATATTTGAGTCTGTTTTTATTAATAAAGAAACATTCTACGTAATTCATTTGTTTAAAAAAATTGGATAAAGGAGCCCACTTTGTGCTAGGAAATTGATATATTTATACACATTTTATGCAACTCGGGCTGCGGAATGCCCATCCCTGACTTAGACTATGCCTACGACAACAAGTCGATCGCGACATATTTTTAAGATAAAAAGTAGATCTTATGTACACAAAAGTTGGCCATCCCTGCTATAGAAGAAAGAAAGTTAAACCTATTACTTTAACTAGATAATATCAAAGTCAGTTATTATATAAATGTGTTAATAAAACTATAAAGATGGAATGTTTTTAATTACACAATAAAGATTGATAATGATGATATTCAGAATTATCCTCTTTTGTTAAGTATATATTTAAGGACAAAAATATATTTATGCACAGATTTTTAATGGACTTTATTTTCTTAATTACAAACTTTTCAATTAATTAGCTATTAAAACTTAAAGGGGCCTTAAAAGGCATCATGAAAGTGTACTAGGAATGTGTGTTCAGCTTTCTCTATTTATGACTGAATCAACAAAGCAGGTTCAGTCAATTCATTAAAGTGACTTTAATTTTTTTATTATTTTTTAATGTCAATAACTTTAAACTACTAGGTCAGTCTAGTACTAGTTAGATTGGTGGGACAAATTGCACTCAAGTCTTAGGTAGGCAGTGCCAAAAATATTTTGTATACTCCAGATATATTAAAAGTAGGTTTGTTTCTATTGTAAGTATTTATAGTTCATTGTTTATTTCAAAATTAAAATGGCAATGCTGTAAGGCAATGAATACCATCTCCATAAAATAACAAACCCAAATGAAATGAAGAGAAGAATACATACAATGCAAAAAACCAGTGTGTCAGATGTGTTTATGCTCCAGATTTGACCCAGGGCTACAGTTTGGACATTACTGTACTAGGTTGTAAGATGTTTACTAATGACAAATTAATATAATTTTATTTTAAGTCTTAATAGAATCTTTGTTTTAATTGTAAATGCATATTTTAGTGGATTTAAATTCTAGTTAATTTTTCTTGTTAAACAAATTAAACCATCAGCTTATTTTTGGGCTATATTAAGGCTAATTTTAATTAAAATTATCCCAGTATAGCTAGCTTAAATTAGATAAGACATCTCTGATAATGGATTTGGAGTTTTTTTATATTGATTTTTGTTACTAATTTTCCAATCTATTTTACTATATCTAATCTTAATCATCAATGTAATCAAGTCATTCACGCTGTTAAATACTTCCACAAATTTATATGGTAAAGCTCTTACGTTTACTGAAATTCACTGAATCATATGCAATACTCATTGCTATAACTAGGCTGGTGCAATGGGTGCACAGGCACAGGATCAGGACAAAGGTGGGCCTGAAATGGGAGTATCAAAAATATGATCATTATTATTATTATTATTATTATTTTATTTTTTAAATTTTGCTGTCTTGGAGTCGATTCCATAATATTTTTGTTAAATTTTTAAAAATAACTAATTGTTTCTAATGCATTTATAGTTGTTCCACAAGAAATAATAGAAGATACTTGATATTCAGTTTTGTTTTTAGAAATGCAATAAATTCTGATAAAGGACTATGTCTTTATTTTATTTAACAGCTCAATAAATATCAAGATGTTATATTTGGTAGAAAGCCAGGAAGCATTAGAATGTTCTAATAATATAAAGCACTAGTAGTTCATAGTAAACTAAACCTAAAATTACAAATTAATGAAATGATAATGTTGGATTTGTTGGGCCATACCTCGGCTAATTAAATGTATAGATATAAAGTATTTTGAATTAAAAATAGATGATTAAGTTTCCATCTTATATTAAATTTAATAATTACGGTTGGGCCGTAATTATTAAATTTAATTGAATCTGGCATTTTCATTTGAAGTTTTAGTAGTTACATTCAAATGGATTCAAAGATCAAAGATCTATTCAAAGAAATTGAACCTGAAGACAAAATTCATTCTTGATCAAGTTTTTATGTAAGGAATTTCTCTGAATGAGAAGTTAGTTTTGCCATTTTTACATAAGATGATAATATTATTTATTTTAGGATTTCTTCTTAAAGAATAACTTCTTTGAGTAATACATAAAGTTAAGAGTTGTTCTCTGCTAAGAGTGTATTTTTCAATATTCTTTAGTGAAAACATTATTATTAGAGTTAAGTAGCTCAGATTTATGGATTGACTGACCATGTATTTAAAATAAAAACTTTTGTAATTTGGCAGTGAATTTGTAATATAATAAATTATTTCAGCTTTCTTAATTTCAAATATACTTTATTATACAGTGACTTATGAGTTATAAAATGAGTCTTTTTTCTCCATACGAAGAATGTCGAAATGTCCTGTATACAATTATTGACTGTTTCTAAAAATTATAAAGATTTCAGGATTGAGTTGAAAAGATATGTTTGATGACAATAAGTATTTTTTAAAAAATGGTTTTTCAATATGTTCTCTAAAAGAATAACAGATAATTAGAGAAAACTTAAAAGTTACGAAGAACTCTGTACTGAGGTCAAATATTGGTCCCTGGTCTAATTTTTTATATTAGCTAAAAAGATATTGCTGATGTAATTAAAAAAATTGTGTATGATTAACTTTATGAAATATATGATCAACTGTGTTTATTTTATTTCACATTCACTTTAAAAAAATAAAATACTTGAAANGAACACAACTGAATTTCCAGCACATTTAATTCCAAAGCCTTGTCAGACCAACCATGGTCATGTATAATAATTTTCCTCATTGACTCTAACCTACTAATTATACACGTTCCATGTTTCTAAAGTATTGATATAATGTGGACTGCTAGAAATTTAAATAAATATTAAATATAAATGATATTTGACACCACTAATGACATTCTCATTTCTCTTATGAGTAATAGCTAGGATTGAATTTAAGTGAAATAAAACTAAGAATATCTTAAAATTGTGGCATCGCTGCCAAAAACCAGGGCTGTGGAGTCGCGTAAAAATCAACTGACTCCGACTTTTCCTTACCATCCGACTCCGACTCTGGCTAAAACACCTAAACTCCACGACTCCGACTACGACTCCATAGCCGTGCCAGAGCTGTGGAATCGCGTAAAAATCTACCGACTCTGACTTTTCCTTACCATCCGACTCCGACTCCGGCGAAAACACCAAAACTCCACGACCCGACTCCACAGCCCTGCCAAAAAGTGCAGTGTAAATAATGTAAATCAAGGCCCTACACATGTCATCGTCTGTGACTGCCTAGTAAACTAGTCTGGTAGCTGTAGGAATTTCAAGTTCCCTCTTGTAATTTTATTTGGATTAAAAGAGGTTCTGGACCATCAGTTTCAGAAATTTGGTGGTGTAACTCTGTTTGTATTTTGAATTATGCAATAATTAAATGTGAAATAAATAATTTTTATCTTTGTTAAGTAGAAACAATAGTAAAAATTATTATGTTTCTATATTTAATTTTAGAATTTTTGCTTTAAGCTATCATTTCAAATTATATTACCAAAATTTTAGTTCTTTTGAAAAAGTATGTTAAATTGATCAATAGATAATTTTGCAAAAATATTATTATATCTGTACACAGTAGACTCGCTTTATAATGATCCTTAGGGGATGTTTGAAAATGGATGTTGCATCAAATGTTTGTCGCATCTAATTTTTCCAATATCTTCCTATTTTATTGGGAAGTTGCTGATTATGCCAAACATTTTTGGGCCAATGTTTTTAATAATTAAATGATAGTTGAATTAGAAAGATGAGTAAGCAAGCAAATGATGGTTGCTTACTCAAACGATCTGTGATGGTTATTAGATTTTTTCAAGTGTGTATGTAATTTTTGTCCATTCTAATTCATTATCAAAAATATATTTATTTATACAGTATTTTCATTTTTATGTATGTAATTGTTGTTTTGATTTAAAACAACTTTTTTGTGCTGAAACATATATTTACCTAAGAAGATGTGTTTTTTGTTTTTTTTTCTATGCAGGTTTGTTGTTTCAGTGTTCTGAAAGATTCTGACTATTAACAGTTTCGTTATGTCGATAGTAAAATAGCATTATGCTTATGGGATAATGACTGGAACCTTTCCTATTTATAATTATATTGTGGTGAGTCACTATAAAGCGAGTCTACTGATATACTTTAATAAAATGTAAAATATCACAAAATATAAAATAATTATACTGGTTTCTTTTTATTTATTTGAAGGTTCTTCTATCAATAGTGATGTCTGTTCGGCTAATTTAGCCATTACGCCAAATTATATAGCTCACCCTCCATTAGGCTATAAGGTGGACATGTCGGATGATTTGGGGCAAAATAATCAAATCGAAAAACCTGATTTAGTGAACGGAAAGCATCCTGTTTGTGTAAATCCGTCGGTCCCCATTACTGTTGTTGAGAATGGTAAGCTAAATCAAAATGTTCTGTTAATTTTCCAAGCTCTAATTTATTATTAAAATATTCTATTTTCTGTAGAAGAATTAGTATTAAAAGTGAGATTAGCTAACAGTCAAGATCCTGATTTTATAGAAATTGAAATACCTCGTGATCAGTTAACTTATAATTATTTATTACAAGTGTGCTGCATTGAACTCAATATCGATAAAGAACAGGTAACTATTACTTGATATTTATACTTAGCATAAGTTGTTAAATTAATTTTTCTAGTATCAATATTTGTTTTTATTGTATAGGTTTAATAGCAATATAAGAATAGGAAGAATAAAAAATTTTACACTTAAAACAATTATTTTATTGAATGTGATTCCCAATGATAAATAATGGTAATGTTCTTTAATGCACTGATGATAAATAAATGGGACTTATTGTGCTATTCTCATTTAATACATTAACTTTTATCTCAAGTAGATTATTATTGTTATTTAACTTCATTCATTTTGAATTTCCAGTATAATTGTATTATTTGTTGTTTTAAGTAGACAGTATGGAAATACAAAATACAGAAAATTAATTCAAAATTAATTTCCTGCATTTTTAATTTAAAGAAGTTTAATAAAACCTTCAAAAGTAATATTCTACAGTTGTGATTACAAATATAAAAGGAAACAAAAGTACAATTTTCTTATTGTAAAGATTTTATACTATATCTATTGATATCCTGGTTATTGTTAATGATGAAATTGATAATACTCCATAAAGTGAACAAATAATATTTTAAATTTCTAGAGACAATTTAGACTTTTTTTTCAAATTAATTATATACATAATTTCATGACAATAATTAGAAACTCTAAAAAATATATGAGAAGTATTTTCCTTCAAATTTATATCTGAAAACTACTATTAATTTTAAAATATTTGAATATGTACTGTACAAAAACATATACAAATGAGAATTTTCTCTTTTGATGATTTTTTTTTTACATATTTAATATTACTCTAGAACTCATATTTTGAGTATTTAAGCTTTTGATAATGTAGAAAATTCAAAATTATTAAAAGAAAAATGACTTCTTACTGGGTTAATTTAAATCTAGTTAAGAAAGAAGTTTTAAGATGACAGAACTAATTTAGATAAGTTAACAAAAATAATAATTATACTATCCTAGATATGCATGAAATTATTCATGCATATCTAGGTGACATGAGTCAGTGTCTGCTATAAGTTTACTGTTGTGGATAGTAATCAGTGGTATAATACTTGATGTCATTAACATCTAATCTAAGGTCTTGATCTTGTATGTGTTCTATGATATAATCAGTAACATTAATTTTAAAAATGTTGTTATTGGGGCAAAAATCTATTGTGGCTACACGCCTGTTTTCTTTTATTAATATTGTTATTATTATTATTAGTCCGTATAGTTTTAGTTTAATTTAAATTCTAGAATTTTCCTTCCTTCCGATTTCTTTGTTCCTTTGTCTCGGACTTCCGAGAACGCGCCTCTACCCATCAGGGGGTAGCCTTAGAACAAAAGGAGAAAATGGGGCTGGAAGAGAGTGGAAAACAAAGGGTTTTTCAACATTCTTGGGCCGGACTCCCAGAGAAAAGGACGAGCGGCAGCAGACTCCGAAAACGGAAAGTCGGGAAGCGCTGCAGAAGGAGGCCATAAGAATCGGATTGGCAGAAGAATCCGATCGTTGATTATAGAAAAGGAAACCCCGAAACGGACCCGAATTGTCCTAAAAGGAGAACAGCTGCGGAAAGAAGCCGAGACGAGGAACGGTGGAGAACCAACAGAAAAATTGGGTACCCTCTGTCCTTTAGTTCTTCTTACTTCCCCTTCTACTTTTCCTATCCTTTAGTTTAAGTTAGTTTAAGTTTACGCGCGCAAATAGATTTGTCGGGAGGTAGTTATCGGAAAAGTAACTACCGGTCTATTGGCATATCTGATCGCTCGAGATTTTGGTAATGTTTGTAGGTAAACAGCGGGAATCCGAACTTACTCGTATATATATTAATGTTAGCGCGAAATTAAACTTGTTTAATTAGTAAAACGTGTCTATGTTTTCCTGTCCACACTGTACATTTTTACACTATGATGTATTATGTAATTCTGTGATTTACTTTGCTGACAATATTGATACCTGCTCTGTTAGTTATTAATTTAAAATTAATTGTTTCCCCATGATTATAGATTATTTATCTAATTTTTCTGTGACTAAGCAGATATTGTTTGTCAAATTTTGCTTGTTTAAATACTGTCAAAATGCATAAGAAAACAAATGACATATACAAGACAGTCTAGAAAATAGAGTATTTAAGAGTAAAAATAAACTGATGTGAGGGTATTGGATCTTTGTATTAATGAGTCAAAACAAATTTAAACAAATCTTAATGACAAAGTTATTTTGTGAAATTTGTGGTAAAAGTATGAGTCATTTAATTAGATTAAATTTCTTTTATCAGACTCTGAATACAAAGATTTATAATGCCATACCACGAGAGTTATTTTCATTACTCAGATCTAGCTAGTTTTTTATTTCCTATTGAGTAACTATTCATGCTCTCAGGTAAAAGAGATGGCAACTTTTTGGGTAGGATTAATTTTAAACCCATAGACATAATATTTACTCTATTTGATATTATTATTTTTCTACTTTTTCTCTCTTTTTAAATAGGTCCGTAAAGTATATTATCATTTATAATTAACAAATCAATTTTAATTTCATGCTTTTCATTTAAACTCAAACTTTCTACCAGTTACATGTAAGATGTTTGAAAAGACTCTCTGCAGTCAGTGCTATAAATTATACTGAACCAAAACATCATACACATGCAAACACTATATTAAATCTCCTACATGTGATTGTGGAATAGTAAATAGTAGAGCAGACACAGTACTGCCTGATGTACAGTACAAGTATTGCCCAAAACCAACCATTGAGTAAAGGGACAAACACAACCTACAATACCCACTTAAGAGACTTTCTGAACAATAACACCAGCAAATCTTTATAATTAAACCAGCAAATAAAGTTTTTAATATATTTTGACAAGCACTTTCGATCCTAATTGGGATCTGCTTCAGGTCAAAACATTCTGTACAAAAATTTGGAATGCTTAAAAAGCAATTTTCAATTTTAGAATTTCTGGAACAATTAGATATTTGAACAAATACAAAAATTTCCATCTATGTGTTAACTGTTAAATATTCTAACACACACAAAAATCACAACTGTGTGTTAATGTTAATTTGTATTTTTAACGTTAATAACGACATTAGCATAAAATAAAATAAAAATTAACATAAAAATTTAGCGTGTATATTGTAACAAATCCCAACAGAAGTGGTTGATTTCTATTTATTATTAATGCATAAATACAATATACTGTATGTAACAAAAAGCAGACCATAACCCTAGCAATATATGCTTCTGAAACTATTGTGGAAGCTAAACTAAACTACAACAGACCAGCCTTATTAAATGCATATTTCACACTAAGCAGATTAAAATTTTGGAAGCTCTAGAAATTTGTAAAGCTGAGCTAAAGGGGGAATGCTTAAATTTTAAGGAGGAGGTTAACACTTCACATGCCTGGAGGACTTTTTTTGACAATCTGACAACATTAATAACAAATAGAAATCAACCACTTCCATTGGGATTTCTTACAATATACACGCTAAATTTTTATGTTCATTTTTATTTTATTGTATGTTATTGTTGATTTTTATTTTTAATGTTAATATTAACACAAAGTTGTAATTTTTGTGTGTGTTAGAATATTTAATCATTCTAGTGATTTTTAAAATTTAAAATTGCTCTTTAAGCATTCCAAATTTTTGTATAGAATGTTTTGACCTGAAGCAGATCCCAATTAGGATCAAAAACACTTGTCAAAGTATATTAAAAACTTTATTTGCTGGTTTAATTATAAAGGTTTGTTGGTGTTATATACTATATAACCAGCAGTGAGAAGAGTTAGACTTTCTGAACATACTATAGAACAGGGGTGGCCAACAAGTCGATTGCAAAACTAATTTTGGTCGATTGCTCGCAATGTCTTGACTTAATGTGTTACACTTGTAAGTTGTAACCGAACGCAATGCGCAAATGCAACTGTAGTGATATCGGACCTCCTCATTCTCCCTCAGATGCAGTTTTGTCAGTCCATATGCAATCTATTTGCGTACAGTTGTAAAAGGGGAATAAGAAATGTAGACAAAGGGTCATAAAACCGAAAAAAAGAAGGAACAGAGAGAGTAGGTCAGGACACGGTAGAGAGAAGGGTGAAGTGGTGATCCCCGAAAGTGACAACGTTGAGTTTTAATTTTTCTTCTGTTTAAAATGTAAGTACCTTTTCTTTGTGTTTTAAATTAAATTGTGGCTTTTCTTATCTATCTAAACATAGTATGTGTTTCACACTTCCCTCCCCTTCGTCATTTAGACCAGGGATGGGCAACCTTTTTCTGTGTAAGGGCCGCATTTCAAAACTTTTGAACTGACGCGGGCCATATACAAGAGAAAAGAGGCGGGAAAATGCCGGTAAATCACAATTATTTATTCATATATAATTACAAATTAGAATAGGTATACAGTGGGTGATCGGTTAACGAATAGTTCGGGTAGTGAACAAATCGGATAACGAACACTTTCGCAAAAGATTTTTATGATTGGACAATGAACACATGTTCGGATAATGAACACTTTACTGAACAAACATAAAAAGAAGCGACGGAAAATAACGAATACTGATTGATTTTCCCTTATCTTCAGGTAACAAATCGAAACATTTCGGAGCGCGGGAGACATCAACATCGACGCTCAACCCGATATTGATCGGATAGTATCCCTCCAAATTTTGAAACTCCCTTGTAATTCCAGCTTTTTGTTTACGTTTCTGACAAATAATTTCTATAGTATTCGCGAGACTGTCGGATGGACACTCGTTAAGTTTTGTGTCGGGGTTTATTTACGAAGGTGAAAGTTTAGCTGTCCCATCGGATATTTGTTAACGTTTTAATACCAAATTTCGAATTTCATCCGGGCCTTGCATTTAAATAATTTTTTGTGGACTAGTTGATTTCTGTTCTCTGAATTTTTGTAAGTGCTTTTCTGAACTTTTATATAAAAAAGAAACTGGTGATATTATGATGCCTAAAAAGAGGAGTGTCAGGAACTGTGCTCACCTGTAGAAACCGAGTAAGAG